ATATTAATTTAAGAATTAAGTAAATATTTATTTTAATGCGATGATCGGCTTTTTTAGCTAATTAATTTTAATAATATTTAAATTTTTAATAAATGTCATCAACTATAGAGTCATTCCAACAGGTTGTTGTCTAATAGGTCCCGCCACGAGCTGGAGTCATTTTCCCTTTTTTTTTTTTTTTCCTAATAAAGGAATCTTAGAAGGAGTTATAAAGACTTTAAATTTTGGTCTATTTTAGCTACACATTATCAGCCTTCTTAGCACTGTTAGTGCTAGTCATTTTCTCCTTTTGAGAAATGTATGGACCGTAGGGAATAGTTATTCTCACCATAAGAATGTTAATATTATTAAAATTATAAAATATTATTTTGAAAATATTAATTTAAAAATTAAATTAGTACTTATTTAATTATTATGAAAATATTAATTTAAAAATTAAATTAGTACTTATTTTTAAAATTTAAGAATTAAATTAGTATTTATTTTTAAAGTTTAAAGATTAAACTATTACTTATTTTTAAAGTTTAAGAATTATTTTAATATTAAAAATTAAAATTTAATAATAATTTTAATATTTTTTAAAATTAATAAATAAATTTATTATAAATTTAAAAATTAAGAGGTTAAAATAATATTTTAATTTTTAATATATGTCATCAACTATAGAGTCATTCCAACAGTTTGTTGTCTAATAGGTCCCGCCACGAGCTGGGGTCATTTTCCTTTTCTTGTTTTTTTTTTCCTAATAAAGGAATCTTAGAAGAAGGAGTTATAAAGACTTTAAATTTTGTTCTCTACCAAAATTTTAGCTACAAATTATTATCAACCCTCTCAGGACTGTTAGTGCTAGTCATTTTCTCCTTTTGAGGAATGTATGGACCGCAGGGAATGGCTATTCTCACCATAAGAATGTTAATATTATTAAAATTATAATATATTATTTAAAAAATAATAATTTAAGAATTAAATTAGTATTTTTTTAAAATTTTAAGAATTAAATTAATATTTATTTTTAAATTTTAAAATTAAGTTAGTACTTATTTTTAAAGTTTAAGGATTA